TTTCAACAATTTCATCGCCAATGGCCCCAACAGTCCCCATGCTGAGATTATCCGCACCGTGTCTATCTTATCTGGTTCCATTGCTGATGTGCTGAGCAACACTAAGGGTCTCACTCATTTCGCCAACAACGACAAGAGTGCCGATCAGTTGCTCAATGCCGCGCGCAAGTCGGCGCAGGCGACCGTGCGCTTCTCCTGCGGACTGCAGTCCTTCCGTCTTGAGGGTCTAGAGGCTCTGCAGAAGACCGATGTTGTGATCAACAACAACTTGGAGGTTCAGAAAGATCTGCAGTCGTTGTCGAAACTGGTCGATGCGTTTGCTCCCAAGAGCACCAAGATTAGTACCACGGCGATCTGGGCGATCTGGTGGACAAAGAGCTCAGTAAGGCCGCCGATGCTATCGAGGCTGCAGCAGCACGTTTGGCCAAGCTTAAGACGAAGCCTTGCGAAGGCTACTCGACATACGAGCTTCGCATTAACGATGTGATCTTGGAGGCTGCTATTGCCGTTACCAACGCGATTGCAAAACTGATCAAGGCTGCGACGGCATCGCAACAGGAAATTGTGCGTGAGGGCCGCGGCAGCTCGTTGAAAACGGCTTTTTACAAGAAGAATAACAGGTGGACGGAGGGTCTGATCTCGGCCGCCAAGGCTGGTGCTACCTCGACCAATACCCTGATTGAGACTGCGGATGGTGTAATCTCTGGCCGCAACTCTCCTGAGCAGTTAATTGTGGCCAGTAACGATGTGGCCGCCAGCACTGCTCAGCTGGTTGCTGCTAGCCGAGTTAAGGCCACTTTCATGAGCAAAATGCAGGATTGTCTCGAGGCCGCTAGCAAGGCGGCCGGTGCCGCTTGCCGCGCTTCGGTGTGATAAGTGCAAGATATCATCTCCGAACGCAATCGGGATGAAGGGGAGACCGTTGACTACGCGAAGCTCAGCTCGCATGAGTTCAAGGTGCGAGAAATAGAGCAACAGGTATGCTTGTTTTCTTCCCACTTATCACATTGCTTTTCGCGCGTGTGTCTTTTGAAGATGCTGACTAGTTGTTTTCTTGCGTATAGGTCGAAATCCTTCAACTCAAGAACAGTCTGGCCTGGGCATGTCAACGCCTTGGAAAGATGCGCAAGATTTCTTACCAGGAGGATTAAGGTTCATTCGCCAAATACCATTGGTGAGAGTTAGTAGTCTACAAGGCGTCTATATCTTGGGTTTTGCCGGCTCGCCTTTCCGTCCACGTGGTGCTCGTGGTAGAAACAACCTTAGGTGATAAAGTCATGGTGGCAATATAGTTGTATTCTATTTCTTGAGTGGCTCTCGATATCTACAGATAGACAAGTTCCGTCATCCTTCTTTTCCTTCCTCTCTTGTGTCTCTTATTCACGGTCGCTCTGTGTTCCTTCCTCTAGTCTGACTGAATTCCTTTCGTTATGCAATCTCTTCTTCCATATTTTCAATATACCAAGACCAGTGAGCAATATATTTTATGTATATGTGAACCAGTACTTCGCACGTTAAACGAGCTGTTGCATTGTACGGAGTACATACGGACTAGACCCTCCGCGGCTACACCGCGAAAGATACATATACTTTCATCCTTTGTCTGGTAAAAAGCCAAAAATGAAGTCAATCAATGTATCCAAGCTCAGCCCAAGACTCCATAAATTCCAGATGCAGATGATCTTCATGTGTCCGCAATCTTGAGGGGTCGATTTACAGCCAGCTGACAGCCCTTGCGTCCATGGAGTGCTTTGATCACACACTCCACAGTCCAGGATCCCTGCACTTTGTCCTGGCAGCACTTCACACAGACCTCCTTGCGGGCGCCATCGGTTTCTTTGTCCTCTCATTCGCCGCCGCATTCTCATTCGATCTGGCACTCACGTTCCTTGGTGACAGGTGCCGGTTCGTCTTGACGCGGGTCCACCGTAAATCTTATCATGACGCCCGCAGTTTAGGGCTAGTTGCGAGTTCTTTGTTCACGGCAAGCATGCGCATGGGAGTCGGGAAACAAGGGAACCCCTCCCCCGCTCCAAGTGACGTCGACGAGAATGGTTTATAGGAAAGTAGGAAAGTAGGACTCGGGCGCAGATCGTGATCGTTCTCGCTCTGGCTCTGGCTCTGGCTGTTGGTTCTCGTTGTATCCCTGAAGTGTTCTAGTGTGAGGGTCAGCAACTTAGCATGTCTGGACCCTGTGTTTCCTATTCCGGCGATTTGGGCTGCGGCAAATACTGACTGGTTCCTTAGGCTAACGCGAGCCACCGTGCACGGGTATTCTAGGTCCGTCGGTTGGGCTGGAGGTGTTGGAAATGGAGAGGAGCGGGGGGCCCGGTTGGATGGACCGAGAGGCAGTCTTGTGTTGGGTTATTTTCTTGCCTCTTTGCTTCTGTTTTGGGGGGAGACTTGATTGGTTAACCTGGTGTGTTCTGCGTGGTTAGAATGTGATACAGGAGATAAGAACTGTGAGAGAGTAATGTTGGTGGCGTACACTGTTCTTGACTCAGTTTGTGCTTGAGTCATTGCGTCGGTCTTGTGAAGCATGTTGATTCCTGGCTCGTGGTGGCGGGTAGGCTTACAGGACTTGCCATGAGTGAAGGGCTATCTCCAGCATTCATCTGAGCTTTCTCCACACATGCCTGGGTAGCTTGTGGCTAATGAGACTAAAAGCAAGTGGATCTAATCTGCCGTTGTGGATGGCTGGGTAAAGGGAAAATACCTACCTGTGGTCCGTTCTAGAACAGTGGCGAAGGTGACTGGAAACAAACTTCTCGAGATCTCTCGTAGCATGTAAAATAAAAGGAAAAAGCAGGTTGGAGATTGGTGGCTGGATAGACCTCGCTTCTGTGAAGCTATGATGTACTCCATACTTTTGCGGGTCTGGAGGGTTGAGGTGGCTGGGATGCTGGTTCGATCATGTGTTTATCCCAAGTCACAGAGTGGAATTGTTAGCCTCTGATAAAAGACTGTACTCTCAATCACTAGTCCGCTTAGGAACAGAGATGAGCCCGTACTCTATGGTATTACAGAGCATATATGAGGAAGAAGGTCGCATTGTAGATCGAATAGAAATTCCGGGTGGCTTGAAGAGAGCAATCTATCCTGCTTGCGAGAGCGATAAAGTACCTTGAAACGATTATCCTTATTTTTTTATCTTTTGAACTAACTAAGCTATGCTAGTTGATTGAGCCACCGAAAGGAAAGACTCCAATGAGAGTTGTATCCGCACTCGGGGAGTCAAGGAAAGCAACCAAGACCACAACACTGTTGTAAAGTGCAAGCCCGGCGAAACCCTTTGAAATCGGAGAAAAACACAGAAACCGCATCAGACATCCATAAGCTAAGCCACTTGATGGCGAACATAGAATCATGAAAGCTCCAATTCTTTGAAAGTCGTCATGCATCGCAATGCTGATGTCATCACAAAGAAGAGCATGCTCGCTTCGTAATCGCCATTTGCCTTGAAACGCCGATGGGAAGATGAAAAGAGCAAATACTGAAACAGTTCAAGCAGTGTACACAAGTAAGTTAATGAGACATTGTTAAGCAGTGCCTTCTCGCAGAAAATGCTCTTTGAAGTAAATGCGAGACGCCCGAAAGCACCGAAAGAGAGTAAGATGCATGAGAAAGCGACCGCTGACTCTGAAACGCGTGGTCATACGCTATGAAGTTGTCTCTTAAGGCGAAGTTAGCATTCTCATCCTGCATCAGAAGACATGGATCCTTACAGTTCAGACGGTTCAGCAGCGCAATACAGGCTTTCATCGCGTTGTAGGCCACCCGGTTTTTTTCAATCCAAGCCCCTAACCAAGAGTTAGCAAGCTCGACAGCAGAGTCACAGATGTACTTACAGAAGCGTAAGGCATCACCAGGTAGGGAACGAGTCGTTCTGATGAGCAACATTTTCTCAAGATTGTTGAGTCGAAGACGCCTCTCGATTGCTGCATAGCAAATTTTCTGGGTACGAACGCGATAGGCATTACCACGAGGATCCGGAGTCCAGAAGTTGATCATCTCCACGACAGTTTTGCTAAGTCTGTAAGCAGAATCCAAATGACAATGTGCAGGGATACATACGTCATGTAGTACTGCTGAAGACCGGCTCTGAAGATGTAGTGGTAACCGTAACGCTGAATGCTTCTGGCGAGATCGGCATTTGCCCGTTGTTCCTTGACAAGAAGAGCCCGGTGGAACTCAAGTCTGAGGTTGTCATTCATGCTTTCCTCAATAGCGGGATCAAGGATGCTAATGAGCTCGATTGGGTGGCCTTCGTAGTCCGCGTTGGTTGGGATGATGCCAAAAGCAGCCGTGATTGCATGAATGTTTTGACCAAAACGACGGACAGGGAGCCCAAGATTTCTAGGAATGTTATTGACCTGCTGGAATGGATACATAACTAGCTCGCCTCTAGCCAAAGCAGTAGCCTCAGCCATGAGTCTGTAAGCATTTCCGTGACGCATGAAGGAGACGATGATGTGGGTAGCCTTGTTTCTCAAGTCTGGCGGGTAGTGGGCATTGTCAGCGACAGTACCCAGATACCACAGAAGAACATCTCTTTCATAATCCATATTGAAGATGCCCTCAATATGAGATTCTGAGAGATACACGAGGCCTGATTGAGAACTTCTTGATGAGGGTCGTTCGTAGAGCAAAGAGAGGGACAGTTAATAAAGTGCTAAGGACAAGAGAGTTAAGGGGATGTCAAGGTAGAAGACTTAAACTGAGAGAAATTAGGATACTTTTGTGTTTGTTTGAAGTGAAGAGGAATTAAGTGGTCAGAGGCTGGGAGGAAAAGTGAAGTGACTTTAAGCATTCACCTAAGTAAACAAAGAAACCCACCAACCTCCCCCTCAAGTTCGAACACTAGCCTCATTTGCCATGTCTTACAAAGTCTTTTGGCTTTTTTCTCCCATCTAGCATGCTATTTATCTAACTTCCTACGCTGTCTATGAGATACCTTCCTTCTTCGCCTTCTTCCTTCGCTCTTCGACTCTCTACAAAGTTGACAGTTGGGCTGCGGAGTTCTCTCTTTCAAGATCTCAACATTGTTCACAGTAATCTTGTCTGCAGACCGAGATCAGAAATGGCTACCGTTCCAATCGCCATGAAGTCGGCAGCGGAATCTACAGACACTCTCACAGAGCTTCTTTGGCAGGATGCTTTGCGTCACCTTGAGTCCATGAATAACGAGGTCCTCCTCCCCATCAATGTGACCGACATGATTGGCCAGGACAATGTCGACAAGATCAAAACTCGTCTTGGGTAAGTGTCTACTCTAAAGCCACTCTCAAGCTCGGCTGATAACACGGAATGACAGTGCACTCATTGGCGCTCCTGTTATTGCCTTTGTTGACAAGTCCATTGAAGCTCTCCGTGTTATGCGCACCCCAGCATTTTCTGGAAGAGCTATCTCGGTTGCATCCCACGGTGCAGCTCTCAATGCGGACAAGGTTGCTGCGACTGAGTCCTTCAAACCTCGTGGAAAACCCGCAGGTCCTATGAAGGCGCCAAAGGTCCCGCGTCCTCCGAATGCATTCATTCTGTATCGTCAGCACCACCACCCCAAGATCAAGGAAGAATATCCTGACTTTTCGAACAACGACATTTGTAAGTTGCTTGTTCATGCTCTTTGTTATGCTCAGGTTCACTAATATGCCTAGCCATCATGCTTGGAAAGCAGTGGAAAGACGAATCCGAAGAGGTCAAGGCCCAATTCCGAAACCTAGCAGAAGAGCTCAAGAAGAAGCACGCTGAAGACCATCCACACTACCATTATACCCCCCGCAAGCCTTCTGAGAGAAAGCGTCGTGCTTCATCCCGTCAGTTCTCCAAGAACACCAAGTCTGCTGCAGTGCTCGATACTCCGGCTTCGATGAACGTCGCGTCTGATGTCTCCACTCCTGCCATGCACCAGGGCATGCCGGTGGGCGAGATTGACTTCAATGCTGCTTTTGAAGGCGTTCCAGATATGGATGTCATCATGAGTCCTACCGGCATACTGGAGGATCAGCAGTTTCACTTTGAACCAAATGGCTTCGATCTCATCCATCAGATGGAGAATGATTACAACAAGGCTGCCCTCTATCAGCAACTCAGCCTGGCCGAGGGTCCTGTTGGAGAGAACTATGAATTCTCTGACTTCATCACTGATTGCTTCTAAGGTCGACTGGAACATACGCTTCTTCTCTGCTTGTCTTTTTGCCCCTTCTGTTGTTGTTACTTGAGCAAGCACCATGTGTACAATTTCTCCATTCGCGCCTCTAGCTGAGGGCTTCGTTACAGCATTGCCTTTGACACTGTACCATACCGGCGCGGATAGTTTGTTTTCTTTACTTTTTATCCTGGGGCGATGGGGGATCTTTGACAAATCTGGGGAATTGCTTTCAGAGGATATCAGGTGAACCCGTGTAATTACTCCGAAAATATCAGACCTCTAGATAGGTAGTTACTTAGCTAGGACATAGCAGACAGACAAATATAAAGAACGGGGCTAATCAATATGTGTTATCTCAAGTGTTCACTCTCTTCTTCCCGGTCCTCAGTTGACCAGCTAGTCCTCAAGGTCGAGAGTAAGTTAAACGTGTCTGCGTCCCAAGCGCTGCCCCCCTTGCTCTCCAAGGTTACTCGACAGTTTCTGCAGCCTGTTTAATTAGTTCCAATACAACCTGCATGGTGGCCCGCGCTGGCGGGCCCTTGCATGCCGCAACCGCTTGAGAGCCGTGCACCTGTCATATCCGGTTCCGGCATGCTTGTTTCCATGAACACCAAAACATGCGTTCTTCAGGGGCCATGAGGTACCTTTGATTCTATGCTTAACTGAAGGCGACTGCGATGCCTTTGCTTTGAAGAGAGAGAGTTATGATAAGTATCCTTCAATCAGGCCAAGTCCTTCTCTCGGGATTAAGCTCGCTAACCACCTTTTTTGTCCCATAGTTATTCTTGTTTATAATAGATACACCTCGGAGAGTCTCGCTTTACGAAATGTCTTATCATTGAAACCATGATACATCATACCATTCGTAGCCTTCTAAGTACAAAACCGGGTATCGTTACACTATCGCAAAAAGAAGTTGCCCCAGACAGAAAATCTACGGAGCGGAAGGGTTCCAATCGCTGGCCCATATGAATGTAGGAAATCGCCACTGTGTCCCCTTTTCCTTGTTTCCGCTGGGCCCAAGGGGTCTCAAACAGATCCAGAACGATCTTCCGCAGTTGATACCAGGCTTCTTAGTTGTCAGACTGACACATGGTTCCTGGTGGCCCTCGCACTTGGGAATGGGCTTTTTAGTGAAGAGCTTTGACCAATCTTCCTTGCTGACAATGGGATCGATAATAGTATCATTGTTTTGGGATGAAGCGGGAGCTGTAGGAGTCGCAGAATTTGGCTGTTCTCCTGGAGAAGCTTCACCAGCGGGAGCTGTCAGTAATGCTTCCAGTGCAGGAGGTTCCGTAACTGGGTAGATTTTGTAGGGGATGCGGCTGGTTGTTTCGTTGGCACAGTAGACACTGTTGCAGGATCCTGGGCTATGGCCATTTGGCTGGCCGGATCACTTTTAAGTTTGAAGAACCCCTTTAGAGTCCTCTGTCCAGCAGTGGGAGGTGTTGATGATTAGGCTGAACCCGATTTCAAACGCTTGACTGAGACAGGGGAACCTGTCTCATATTTCTGAGACCTCTTACAAACAACTTCTTTCGTTTGAGTGCTGTCAGCAACTGCTACAGGCTGGCAGGTAGCTATAACGCTGGCAGCACTCTCCAAAATGGCGGGTGCTGTTCCCTTTTCCTGACTAGAGGTAAAATGTCTCAATGTCAGGACGTTCGTCGTTGGTCTCTGTACGTTGGCTGATGATTTACGCAAGAACATGTCCTTGATCCTCCTCCGCTTGTTGGATTCTGGTATCAAGCGCCCTGATGTAGGCAGAAGATATTTAGTAGAGTATTCCTGCTGACGCTCGCCATCTTTAAACATCCCAGGAGGGTTCATTATGTCGTGAATGTTGACCTCTTCTTCGCCGAGGCGTACGACGTCCTTGAAGACAGCATAAACCGGGCAATGATCGGATCCCTGTTCCAAATTGCATATTGTCAGCTGGAAAATCAATCTACAACAAAGCCATAGCAGCCTTGGGGCTTACCATTAGACCCTCTTGGATATTTGAATCGCAGAACTAATCTTACATATTAAGGCTACACAGGACGTAGTCTATCCTTGAGCCATAATTGCCGGGTCGAGCGTTGATTCTTGTTGGAAACTGCAGTACCGTCACGTGTTTAGAAATCACTAGTATTTCGCATACAAATGATAAAGCAATGAAGATCTGATTCTTCTCAATCTACTATCTAACGAACGTATATTTATACTGCCGGAATCGTATCTCAGGGGCTAGATTAGGGGTATCCAGGTAAGGCGAATTCCGAATAGGGTAAGCGGTAAATTATATCAACAATTCTTTACTCCCAACAAGTATACATTCCCTTTCGACTGGGGTGAAACAACCTACAAATATCAAATAAAACAGGACTTTCCCTCCTTCATCGCGCTGGCCAAGAACTCTGCCATCAGAAAGCAGCTGATTGAACACGCGCCGTGCCGGGGAAGATATAAACT